TAGTTGTATGTTGTAGCTGCACATCCTTCTAGTTGCTGTATGCGGGACTCGGCCTCAGGATGAACGGAGAAGTGGTGCCTCGATGCGCACCCGGGATCCGAACCCGGGCCACCAGCATCGCAGAGCGCGCACTTAACCACCAAGCCACAGGGCCGGCCCTAAAATTTTTGAACCATTGGCTTCAGCATCTGTTGATGATTTTCTAACACCAACATTCCTTTGATATTATTACTTGCTATTCTACCATAAGGAAGAGCTTTCTCTTCTCCCCCGTTTATTTGTGTATTTATATCTGTACAGACTGGTGTTATTTTTTTATTCAATGAATTATATTTGATCACTGTCATTAGTTCCTTTAACGCTCAAATTGTCCCAGATTTGGCCAGTGGGAGCTTCTTCAAGTTGACTTCTGTGTCCCTTTGACATGCCGCATCATTTTTTGTTATTTTTTTTAGCACTTCCTTGCTTTCTGGCACTACAAGATGCTCCAGACTCACCTTATTCTTTTTTAGCCCCAGTTGAGAAAGTGTTCATTGCTACTAGGGTGTAATTGTTTCTATGCCCTCTCAGTGTACAGAGCTAGGAAATATATGTACGCATTCTAATCCATCTATACACACATATCTATATCTACTTATATATTTTGTTATAGGTATATATATTTTAAAAACAGAAATTCATTATTAATACCTTCCATTTCTTTTTTTGTTTGTTTTTTGTTTTTTTGTGAGGAGATCAGCCCTGTGCTAACATCTGCCAATCCTCTTCTTTTTGTGCTGAGGAAGACTGTCCCTGGGCTAACATCCGTGCCCATCTTCCTCCACTTTATATGGGACGCCGCCACAGCACGGCTTGCCAAGCAGTGCGTCAGTGCACGCCAGGATCCGAACCGGCGAACCCCGGGCCACTGCAGCAGAGCACACTCACTTAACCGCTTGCCCCACCGGGCGGGCCCCTAATACCTTCCATTTCAACCCAACAACACAAGGTTCATTCTAGTTTTCTCACTTTCCACATTTGTAAATCCCTTCTCCAACAGAAAGAAACCTGGCTCTCATTATTTACAATAAGTTTACTTATTTGTGTAATCATATAATACAAGTTAAGTAACCAGAATTGCTAACCCATAAGGCTGTGAAAATCAAATCTACCAACTGGAAGTCAATACTTGTTTTTACAGTTTCTTTTCTCTTTAGGCTCATGGTGGTCTATAGTCAAAATACTGTGTTTAACAAGCCTACTATGGTTTCAATATTTGATGCAGTTCCTTTTGTCTTTAATCTGATGGTAGTCAAAATACTGTGTTCAAAAATTACTTGGGTTAGTTCTCCCCATCCTGGCCCCTTTCAATGAGGCTGTGTGAATCATTTGAAATGCGGTTAGGTTCCTTTGTTTCTGTTTGAATTCCATTTTGCCCCTTCCAGCCTTGTTGAGGTAACCAATCTATTTACTTTCTGCCTTATCCTTTCTGTGTTTCCTTTTGCACAAATGAGCAGATACATTTATATCTTACTTATCCTATATGAAGAGTAGCATACTTTGCATTTTTCATTTGATAATATCTCCTCTCTCTTTCTCAGCCTCATAGTACCCCATTTTATAGATGTATCATAATTTAACCGCTCTCCTATGTTTGCCCATGTAGGTTGTTTTCAATATTTTGCAATTACAAACAATGCCAAAAAGAATAAACTTGTACACAATAGATGTTAGCTCAGGGCCAGTCTTCCTCAGCAAAAAGAGGAGGATTGGCATGGTTGTTAGCTCAAGGCCGACCTTCCTCAAAAAAAAAAAAAAAACCTTGTACATATATGTATTTTTGTATTATCTGAGATGTATCTTCAGGTTAAATTCATAGAACTGGGATTGCTGCATCAAAAAGTACATATGTAGTTTTGTTAGGTATTTCCAAATTTCCTTCCAAAAGGGCTGTTCCGGTTTCATTCCCACTAGCAACGTATTTGAGTGCCTGTTTCCCCACAGCCTCTCCAACAGACTTGTTGTATTTAAAAATTTTCTCCGCTCTGAGAGGTAAGAAATGATATCTCATTGTAGTTTTTTTTCTCTTCTCATTTTCATAGGAGTAAATGATTTGCCTGCTGTGGGAAAATGTTTTCAGCCAGGGCTCTTTTTTTCTTTTGTAATTTCATGAACTTTATTGAGATTCTCTTTCTCTTTCTCTCTATATGTATCTATAGATAGATAGATAGATAGATAGATAGATAGATAGACCGACCTGTTTTAAGAGTACAGTTCAGTGAGTTTTGACAAATGTATACAACCTTGTAACCACCACCACAATCAATATATAGAATATTTCCATCACCCCCAAAAGGTTCCTTTGTGCCCCATTCCAACCACCCCCATCCCTCAGGCAACCACTGATTGGCTTTCTGTCACTGTAGATCATATCTGTCTTTTATAGAGTTTCATACAAATGGAATCAGACAGTATGTACTCTTTCGTGTCTGGCTTCTGTCGCTCAGCATAATGCTTTTGAAATTCATCCAAGTTGCTGTATCGGTATTTTTCTCCTTTTTATTGATGAGTAGAATTCCACAGTATGGATATACCACAATTAGTTTATCCATTTT